ATGCCGTCATATGTCTTCGGGACGGTCGATTTTGAATCCCGAACGGAACTCACAGTTTTTGAAGGATTTCGGCATGCGCGCGCGACGACGCGCGCGTGCGCACTTCGTCCCATTTGCTGCCAGGGATGACATGCGCGGGCGAGAGGCCCACATGGTAGCAGCAAGTGATTCACATGCTAGAAACCGTTGGTTTCTTTATGGATGCGCAAGAGCCCGAGCGAACTCTTGTTGCGAAACCATGTGCTTTTATATATTTCGGGGCGCTGGAGCTTGAAATCCTTACGACATCTAAAGTTGTTGGAAGCTTCCGGTATGCGCGCGCGACGACATGCGCGTATGCACGTCGCCCCTCTTGTTTGCAAGGGGATCTTGAAAACTGACGATGTTTGATATACGAGTGCGCGCGCGTAGTATTTCTTGACCGATACCGGCCTGCCTGGGAAGGTACGAGTTCAGACCTAGGACGGACGATGGAGCAGAATCGTATGTAAATGGCAACACGAAAGAGGGGGCCGTTAATTCCTGGGGGGGGGGTAGATCCGAATACTCGCTTAGAAAATCGAGCCGACGTGGTTCACTAAATTTGGTGCGATCTGTGTTGTAAAATCCACTTTGGCTGTCTTGAAGCTGTCCTCCCCGCTGCTCGTGCAAACGCCCCACCCTCCCACCCACAACTTGGTCGCAAGACCTCTCAATCTTAAGACCGTGTCGGTAGGTACCACATGGCTCTTCGCAACGACACCGACGACGCCGACGACGACAGCGACAACGACGACGACGCCGACGACGACTACGACAACACTGACGACGCCTCCGACGACTTCGACGACGACGACGACAACGACGACGACAACACCGACGCCGACGACGACGACGTCGACGCCGACGCTGACGACGACGCAGACGACGACGACGATGACGACGACGCCGCCGACGACGATGACGACGACGATGACGACGACAACAACGAAGACGACGACGACGACGTCGCCAACGAACACGACGACGTCGAGTGAGGGAGGACGACGACGCCGACGCCGACGACAACGACGAGGGAGGAGGGAGGACGGCGACGACGCGAACGTCGAAGAAGAAGGGAGGACGGCGACGCCGACGACGACAACGACGAGGGGGAGTGAAGACGACGACGACGACGAAAACGACGGCGACGAAATAGTAGGGACGACGGCAAGACGCCGACGACGGACGACGACGACGACGAGGGAGGAGGATGGACGACCACGGCGACAACGACGACGGAAGCGACGACGGCGCCAAAGAGGACGACGACGACGACGAGGAAAGACAGAGGACGACGACGGCGGCGACGACTACGACGAGGGAGGAGGGAGGACGGCGACGACGACGACGACGACGCAAGAGCGCGCGCGCACGCTTTTGTTGAAAACTCGTGTTGCAAAACCATGTGTTTTTCCCTACCTAGGCTCTGCCTAGAAGGGTTCTTACTCGCTTGGCTTAAAAGGGGCCGGGCAGTGCAAACCGCCCCGGGCGGTTCCCCCAGTCCCCTGGGAGCCAAGCAAAAGCAACAGCAAATGTAAAAGCAAACGCGCGGTTCCCCCAGTTGAGCTCCCTGGGTGCCAAGCAAAAGCAAAAGCAAAAGCAAAGGCAACAGTGAAGGTACAAGCGAAGGCAAAGCAAAAGCATAGCATAGCATATCATAGCATAGCGCAGCACAGCATAGCGCTGCATATCATAGCATACCATAGCCTAGCCTAGCCCAGCATAGCATTGCGCAGCATAGCATAGCATAGCATAGTATAGCATAGCTCAGCACAGCATCCACTATTGCTGCTGCTATATATATATATATATATAAATGTACTTATATGTGTGTGCGCACGTATGTGTGTGTGTCTGTGCGCAGGCAAAGCAACAGCAAAACCAAGCAACAGCAAAAACAACAGCAACGCAAAAGCAACAGCAACAGCAAAAGCACAGGCAAAGGCAAAAGCAAAGGCAAGAGCAAAAGCAAACGCAATGCAAAGCAAACACAAAACCGAGTGAGAATGTAGATGTATATGTAGATGTAGGTGTAGATGTGGATGTAGGTGTATATGTAGATGTAGGTGTAGATATAGGTGTAGATGTAGATGTAGATGTAGATGTGAGTCTCGCTGTTGCTGTAGATGTAGATGTAGATGCAGGTGTCGATGTAGATGTAGCTGTAGATGTAGATGTAGGTCTAGATGTAGATGTAGGTGTCGATGTAGATGTAGGTGTAGATATATATGTAGATGTAAATAACTGCCCAGTGCCCCGCCCTCATCTCCGTGCCTGCTTGCATTTGCTGCTGTCTCGGCGACTTGCTGCCTGCTTCTGCTTCTGCTTCACTTACGGCGTGGCGTCGGCGGTTCTGGCGCTACTACTACTACTACTACCACTACTACCACTCATACTACTATTCATACTACTACTACTACTACTACTACTACTACTACTACTACTACTGCTGCTACTACTACTACTACTTCTACTACTACTGCTACTACTTCTACTACTACTACTACTGCTACTACTACTACTACTGCTACTACTACTACTACTACTACTACTACTACTACTACTACTACCGCTACTGCTACAATTACGACGATGAGGAGAAGGAGGAGGACGGCGTTTACCGCTCTTACTGATGTTGCTTTCCTAAAGGCTCCAACTCCTAGGTAGGGTCGCACTGGGATGCTTATATGTTTTCTGGGCACACGGCTTTGACTTTCTTCCGAAACCGAAGGTTTTTGAAAGATTTCGGCATGCGCACGCGACGACGCACGCGTCTGCACTTCGTCTCATTCTTTGAAGATGATTCTCGCGACGGCACGCTCGCAAGGGCGTTCGAAAGATTTCGTCATGCGCGCGCGCAGCCCGCTTGGTATATAGTATTTTTTTTGAAAATCTAGACAAGACCTATGATTGTCCTACTGTTTGGCAAGAACGCGCGCGTAAGCTTTTTTAGACAATCCGTGTTGCGAAACCATGGCTTTTATGTTAAGAAAAACTCGCTTTCGAAATCCGTCCGAAACCGAAGGTTTTTGAAGGATTTCGGCATGCGCGCGCGACGACGCGCGCGTGTGCACTTCGTCAAACTTCCATGCTGGGATACTATGAGTTCATATTTAAGATGGACGATGGGGCAGAACCATATGTAAATTACAATACGAAAAAGAGAACCGTTAACTCCGGGGGGGGGTAGAGTCTATTCTTCTTTTAGAAAAAAATCACCATGCCGAACTTGAAGTTTTCAGCTCCACGGCCCGCGCAATCACCCCACCCGCCCACCCGCAACTTGGATCGTCGATCACTCGGGCGGGCGCGGTGTCATGGCAACGCCGGCGACGGTAGAAACGATGATGGTAATAGCGATGATGACGATGACGACGGCAAGGCCAGTGTCGGCGCCGATGTTGGTCACGACGATGAGGATGATGGAGTCCACGTGCTGGTGATGAAGGGGTTGGAAAATTTTAACATGCGCGCGGCCGACGCGGGCGAGTGACCTGCACGGCATTACTTGACAGGGAAAGTGCCCCACCAAGCGCGCAGTGGCGTTCGAATGATGTCGACAGGCGCGCGCGCGGGAGGCCCGCTTGGTCGCATGGTCGCGTTCGATGTGCGTGTCGAGAAAATGATGCTCGTGGGAACAATCGCAAGCACGCGCGCACAGTTTTCCCATGGAGAACATGTTGCAAAACCACGGGTGTCTAACATGGTATCGGACATCTCGGTCTTGAAATCCTTACGCGAACAGACGGGCGTGGGAACAATTTCGGCATGCACGCGACGACGCGCGCTTATGGACTGCGTCGCATCTGTAGCAAAGGATTGCTGGAAACTGTTGTTATTTGATGCATGCGTACGCGCGCATAAGAATTACTTGACGAAGATGAGCGGGATTTAGTAATAGGTTTGGCTGGGGTGATGTAAGCTCATATTTAACATGAGAGATTGGGACGAGTCGTAAAACAAGAAAAACTGAACTTTCGCAGAGGGTGCTGATACACCTGGGGAGGGTTGATTCGAATTTCTATTAACGGAAATGCAACGCGGTTCTATACGTGCGGTGCTTCCTGTACGAGGCGGCGACGGGGCGGCGACGGCGACAACACAGTCGCCAGACGGACGGTCAGGCTCAGACGACGAGCGGCGACGTGGAGGCGAAGACCACAGGATAGCCGCCAGAGCAACGCACAAGCCCAGACGACGGGCGGCGACTAGGCGGCAACGGGGCGGCGACGGCGACAACATGGCCGCCGGACCAACACACAGGCCCAGTCCTTCGATCACACGTCAGAACCCGTAAATGTAAGCACTGTTCGGGGAATAGGTCTGTTTTCAGGAAGCCGACGGACCGTTGGGCGGCGCGGCTGCAAAGCAGGCGCGACGGTGTTCACACGCCCCGCCTGCCCGCGCCGGGCTGCCCCTCTCGGGCCAGAGCCTCGGCGGGGCTGCACTGGCACGCCGTGCGTGGCGTATGCAAGCTGTCGGCCTGGTGCTGGCCACCGCAGGGGTGAAAGGCAATAGCACCTTCCCTCTATCACTATCTCTGGTCTGCCTTGCGCTCCCCGTCCACGTCTTTCACTCCTCCAGACATCGGCGCGACGATGGGTAAGGAGGGGGAGCAGGAGGCACAGGAGGAGGATGACGGTGGGGCTGGTTGTGTCCTGGCGATGCGCGGCATGACGGCATCCCCGATAAACACCCGTTGCAGGCATCGAGCCTTCTGTCCCTGCTGCTGCCCATGTCGCCTATATGCATATCACCCCTGCTCGCCTGATTGCCGACGTCACCTCCATGCTAATACTCCTCGCACTTTGCTTTCCCGTCGACAACTCTGGACCGTTGTGTGCGTGTGGTCACCTTGGTGTTCAAAATGTTGCTTGGCGCCCTGCACAAGCCATCAAAACCGCTAGCCTGATACGTGCAATCTGCGTCGACTTCACGCTTCCATGATCATCAATACCTTCCACTTTCCCATGGCACTCCTCCAGGATGAAGCTCTCAGAAAGCCTGGCCGACCCTTGGTCCAGTGCAATCAGCTGTCCGAGCACGAACTTCTGCACAGAGTCGTTACCATGGTCCAGGGCCCGAGACAAGAACACCTCGACGGGTGCGGGCTGCAAGCACGGGGATTATAAGCCGTGGTCGCTCTTCTCGAAACCCATAACGCAATTTCCTGTTGGCGCAAGCGTCTTGCTCGTCCGTGGGTACTATTTAGCGGATGGCCGATGATGTTTTGCCTGCTGTGGCGCTCAGACATTGTTCATCGGAATGCTTCTATTGGCATGGAGCGTTTGGTGAGGCTGAGGACAAACAGACATTCGAAACCAATCGATCGTGACTCCGCAACGGAAACTGAACAGCGGGGTGGTGAGTATTCACTAAGATGTAGGTCGGCTGCCTCGGGCGATCCATCGCAGAGAGCTTTTGCGAATAGGACCAGGAGCTACATTACAAGGTGCGTGCTACATGCAGGCGTACAAGACTGGATCGGGTTGGGATGTCCTGTGTGCGCAAAACGTACGCACGCAACTACGTGTCTGCGTGTGTGATGGGCAGAGTTTACCTACGAGCGTCGCAACCGTGTGTAGATTAGTAGGCTGAGGCGTGCGTGTTTGTAGCATGTGCTCTCATTTGACGAGATCAGAATGGGGGAATGGGGGGATGGGGGGGGGGGCGAGCGTCCATTCATTCTACCTGGTTGCGTGGCTGAAGTCTGATTCCGCTGCACGGGTTCTGGGTGTTGTTATTGTTGTTGCATTGCATTACCATGTGGTTGTTGTAATCCCCCCCCGCGATCCACCCGCGAGCAACCCGACCACCCAGTCGGCGACCCACCCGCCCGCGCCCTCAGTCTTAACCTCGCATGCGGGGTGCTACGTATGTGATTCGTGTGCGTGTATGTTGCGTATCGTTGTGGGCGTGCTGGCTGCTCTGATCTACGTGTATCCTCTGTGCGCTCGTTACCGATGCCAGATGCATGCGTCCCATACGCTCATCAATTATGCCAGTCAGTGAATGCACCATGTGTGGCGCGTGCACGTGTGATTGCGCATGCTCGTCATGGTTGGTATGCCTCCAGCGCATCCATAGTATCTATGCGCGTTCTCAGGTTATGTGCGTAGGTCCCTTCTGCCTGGTGCGCACGAATGCTAAATGCTATGTGTGACCGTCCTGTTGTACGCATGTTACTTACGACCCAACTCTACTTGCGTGTGTTCGTGGTGCCGGCCATATCCCGTGTATGCAGGCTGCACGCGTCAAACATTCAGAGGAAGCCTGACCTTCATGCATCTTACTTACGCTTACACATTAAAGCGTTAGCCAAGTCTGGCCAGCATGAGATCTGATCGCGTCTGTTTTGGATCCATTCGATTGCACGTTCACCTGTGTGTCGTACATGCTGGTTGGTATTCGTGTACGGTCTGCGTGTCGTTGTGTTATACATCGGAGATGTACGTAAACAGCTATGTAGATTTGTGGTAAGTACACCTGTGCTCCGAGTGTAACATGCTGTATACTCGATGTGCGTGTGTATGTGTGATGTGTTGCTCTTGATGTTCGCTCGTGGTAGTTATGTACGCATGATCGATGCGTTTTCACTTTGGGTATGTCATCGGACTAATCGCCATCTGCCAGGGATGCGAGAGGGGGCGCTACGGAGCCGTGGCATGCGGGCTCGGTTCTGCCGTCATCTGCCGATGACGCACGGCGGCATACTAGGGATCATGGGGAACTATCGGGACCTGGCGGCCGCGGCATGCGGAGCGGGCGGACGTGTCCAGATCTTGTTTTTTCACGGGCTAACAACCCCAATATGCTCGTCATGTGTGGCACAACCCGTCCGGCGAGGGAGAGCAATCGAGCCTCTCAGGTGCATCCTTCTCAACTGCAGCCTCACGAATCTCACAATGCAAGGTTGGCGGGATACCTTCGCGAGCGCGAACATAAAGCCCCGCCTGAAAAAATTGCCTCTAGATGACATGCCATGCCGCCGGCACCTATAGCGCCGTAGCCGCTGAATCGTCTGGGGCAACTGCTGGCGACCTGGTGATCCTCAACAATCTGCATGCAGAGACATGTCAGCTCCTCACTCATGCCTGCTGGTGAAAGTATTGGCAAGTGTGAACACGCCCAAGAGACAGAACAAAAGAACGCGTTCGCTCACAGCCATCAAGTCTGCCCGCCATCAACGTGGTTGGGCCTTTTCTGAGTTCACCCAGGTCCATATCACTGCCCCTCCCTAGCCGCATGCTCCAACCACTGTCCTATCTCAGCCCCCATTCCGCTTTGGACCAGAGACCGCCCCGAACGACTCCGTCTGCCCCCGCTCCTGAAACAGCCGACGTTCGCATGCCCACGCAGGGGAAGTTATAGACGAGGGACAGAGCCCAAGCATCCTGCACGATCTGCGAACGCCTCCCCCACCAGATGTGCCCAGAACACCGCGGAGCCGAGGCAGCTGCGCGGTGCTCCCTTCATGCTCGCCCTGTTCCGCACAATTCGTGTAGGTCGTGGGTGCACTGTGCAATCATGATGAGAAAACACTTATGCCCTCTGCAACGTCGTGAAGACGCCGAGAAGACGCAGTGGACAAGCAATGTGATATTTTCGGTGCTCGGCAAGACCTGCGCAACAAAGAAACCGACGTCCGTTCCCCCAACACACGCGAGCGCACCTACGGAGAAAGGCTGACGCTCCCGCCTCGAACCACTGCGGCCCTGGAAGAGCTGGAGGCAGCTGGGCCGGGTCCGAAAAACACGACTGGTTCAGCGACCGGAAGAACTGCATGAGCCGGCCGACCAGCGCCTGCAGTGGCTGTCATTCATGACAGCTCGCAGTACGGAGGAGGAGGCGAAGTAGCACCAGAATGGACAAATGAGGGAAACTGGCCATACGTTCTGCTACCTGCTTTAGCGACGCGAACATGCGCAGGCATGGACGGATAGAGAACTCGTTGGGTACGGAATCCAAGGTCTAGTAGACATCGTGAGATTGTCTCCAAGCACGCCTTATGGGGTTTGGCGCGCGCTCTCATGGAGTGACGGGCCAGGAACCTGTACGAGTGATAACTTCGCAGCTGGCCTCTAGCACAACGACATGATCAAGACATCCTTAGCAAAGTGCGCCACAAGCGGGCAGATCAGCTACCACAGACCCCTCCTGCTCCTCCTCCTCTTCGTCCTCCTGTAAACCTCACGGTCCCTTCTCCACATACTCCAGTTCTCTCCTACTTCTCTATCTTCTCCTCCTTCTCCTCCTCATTCGCCTCATCCCTCTCACCATCCTTCTCTTGCACCCTCCGCCTCCCTCTTCCCTCCCCCCTCCTGCCCTCCACTCCCCCTTCTCGTCCTGCATCCTCCACTCCTCCCCCCGGAGGAGGATCGCGAGGAGGGGGAGGAGGAGGAGGAGGAGGGAGGAGGAGGGGGAGGAGGGAGGAGGAGGAGGAGGAGGAGGGGGAGGGGGAGGAGGAGGTGACGGACGGACGGACGGACGCCGATCCCGCTGCACGTGCGCGCGGACACTGGCAGCGCCTCCTGAGGTCGGCGGCGGGGCCGGGGCCCCTTCACACGCTGTCAGTCCAGCGGCGCCGTGGGCCACGCGGGCGTCGCCTGGCGCTGTTCTGGGTGGTATCCGGGTCCCGATGCAAGGATCTGCATGACCATGTCCCAGAACTACCGCTCATGACATGTTGAGACCATGCAGCTTTCTCTTTCGCAGTGTAAATCAAACCAAGTTCCATGACCAAATGATGTGTAATGTTGTTATGTTTTCTGGGTTGTTCGACGTACCCTATTCACCCAAGTTTCCAAATTGGGAGTGCCATCTTGAGCGTTGCTAGTGCTGCCCGTCGCAAGTCCTCCACCGTCACGAGCTCATGGTAATTGTTTTCGTGGTGATCCAAGAATCATGCGTAGCATCCGTCTTTGAGCTGTACACAATTTCTGCTCCAAAGAAACAGTCATTGTCCATGATGCAGAGGAAGAGGTGAGGAAGAGGAAGAGGAGGAGAAGGTGAGAAAGAGCGAGAGGATGCACAGAAACAGAGGAGGAGGAGGTGAGGAAGAGGAAGTAGGAGGAGGGGGAGGAGGAGGAGTGGGAGGGGGAGCAGGAGGAGGAGGAGGAGGAGGGGGAGGAGGAGGAGGGATAATAAGAAGGAGGAGGAGGAGGAGGAAAGCGGAGGACCCCGTCGCGCTCAGGCCTCCCAGCCCGCCTTCAGCAGGTGGCTGCTGTACTCCTCGATGGAGCCGAAGAGCTCCCAGAAGCAGCGCCTCTCCGCTCCAGTTGCCGTGAGGCAACAACGAACCATTCACTCATGGTCCGACAAAAGGTCCAGCCTCCTCCCCCCCCCTGCCTCACTCACCCACTGACTCACTCACGGCGGTCGATCGAGTCGTGCAACCACCTCTCCTGCCCCCGCTCCACGGCTTAACCCGGGCGGGGCGGGGGGGCTCATCAGGGAGAATGTGAACAAAAACTGCCAAAATAATGTACGTAGCACCCCGCAATTGCGGATAAGAGTGAGGGGGCGGGCGCGGGCGACGCGGGCGTCGTCGAGCCGGCGGACTTCGTGGCCCCCACCTTCCTTGTCGATGGCGCTCTCCTCCACCTCCTCCTCCTCCTTCTCCTCCTCTTCCTCCTCCTTCTCCTCCTCCTCTTCCTCGTCCTCATCGTCATCGTCATCCTCCTCCTCCACCTCGTCCTCCTCCTCTTCCTCTTCTTCCTCGTCCTCCCTCTCCCCCCCTTTTTTCATCATGGTCCTCCCATTGTCGTCCTCCCCCTCATCGGCCTCCATCATCGTCCTCCCATTGTCGTCCATCATCATCATCCTCCCCATCCTCCCCCTCCTCGTCCTCCTCCTCCCCCTCCTCCCCCTCCTCCCCCTCGTCCTCCTGCTCCTCCTCCTTTTCTTTCTCCACGTTCTCCTTACATCCTCTCGTCTTCCACGTTTTCCTCGTCCCCTGTTTACTCATCCTGCCTCCCCCTCCTTTCCCAAGATAACTGCAACGCAACCCTTTTTTCCACTTTATGCTCCCCGCCTTCTCTGATCAAGGCAACTCGCCAGGGCAAAGTTGCTGGACGGGCTGGCGTGGATGTGCGGGGCGTGAAGAGGTCCTTGCGGGCTCAGACGGCATGCAAGAATCCGCCGCCGCGCTTGTGCGGCATTGGTTTGTTCAGTGAACGTGGTTTAGGTCGCGGGTGGGTCGCGGGCTCTCCACCTCCACCTGGAAGGAATGCAAAAGCAGCCCGCCGCAAGCGCCAAAAAAATGGTTCGTACACGGAACGAGGTTTGGGTCGCGGGTGGGCCGCGGGTTCTCCACAGGGAACGAATGCAAAGGATGCCCGCCGCAGGCGCCGAAAATGTGGTTTGTACCCTGAACGTGGTCGCGGGTGGGCCGCGGGCTCTCCACCTGAAACGAATGCAAAATATGCCCGCCGCAGGCGCCGAAAAATGTGGTTTGTACCCTGAACGTGGTTTGGGTCGCGGGTTGGTCGCGAGTTGGTCACGGGATGTGTCGCGGGCTCTCCACTTGGAAGGAATGCAAAAAAGCCCGCCGCAGGCGCCGAAAATTGTGGTTTGTACCTTGAACGTGGTTTGGGTCGAAGGTGGGTCGCGGGTGGGTCGCGCGGTAAGTCGCGGGTGGGTCGCGGGTGGGTCGCGGGTGGGTCGCGGGTGGGTCGCGGGTGGGTCGCGGGGTGGGCCGCGGGGGGGGTCGCGGGGTGGGTCGCGGGTTGGGTCGCGGGGTGGGTCGCGGGGTGGGTCGCGGGGTGGGTCGCGGGGTGGGTCGCGGGTGGGTCGCGGGTGGGTCGCGGGTGGGTCGCGGGGTGGGTCGCGGGGTGGGTCGCGGGTGGGTCGCGGGGCGGGTTGCGGGTGGGACGACGACAACAAACAACAACAACAACAAACAACAACAACAAGAATCCTCACCGCGGAATTCCACATCAGCCACGCACCCAGGGACAATGAATGACCGTTCGGCCCCCTCACTCTGACATAGGGGCACGGAGGTCGACCACAATGCGGGGCTCGACCCCAGCAGGAAAGGAAGAGACAAGAAGAGAGGATACATATATAACAACGACCGAGAAAGGGGAGGGGGAGGTGGAGGTACGCGGCAAAGCGCAGCTGAATGTGAGGCTGCGTTCAAGTGACAAGAGAGATGCAGGCGGACATGGCAGCGCGCGGCAATGATCAAGGCGCGTATAGGACAAGACAGAAAGGTATGAAAGGGGAAAAGGAATGGTACTGGTGATGTGATGCCTCTAGTGCCTAGATGCGGTTGCGGCCGGCTGCCCTAGCCCTTGCCAGGATGGCCGACAGCAAGGGAAGGCCCAGCGGCGTCTCCCTCTGCCCATAGGAATCCCCACCAGGCGTCCCAGAGGCCGACGGCGGGAGCCCTTGCCTGCAAGCAGGCGTAGGGTTCCCAGCAAGTCGGTCTCTGGGCCGCCTGTGGGGCTTCCACCAGGCGTGAAGGAAGTTCGGGCCCTCCCCTCGCGGTGGCACCTTGTGCACTGGTGGCGGAGGCGGGGTAAGGAACAACGAGGACCATGGCGCGCGGTGAAGGAAGGTGCATCGGTGCACGCAATCTGCTTGTCGAGCCGCGGCGGCATGGCCAACGCCATACCTCCGATGGCTTAATGCACCCCGCCCCGCCGATGTGATCCCATCCAACCAACCCGACCACAAGAGGGGAAAGGTGAAGGTTATCAGGAAGGCTGAGGTGGAAGGGGGCAGCAACGTGCGATGAGGCGGCTGCAAAACGGCGCGTGGTGAGATAGGGGAGGGGGCACACCGGTAGCGGTGGTGCACTGCGCACAGGTGGCGAAGGTGGGGTAAGGAACAACGAAGACCATGGCGCGTGGTGAAGGAGGAAATGGTGTAGACGTGCACGCAATATGTTTTTTTTCGAGCCGCGGCAGCATGGCCAACACCATGCCTCCGACGGCTCAGTGCCTCCCATCCCGCCTATTTGATCCCGTCCGCGCAACCCGACCACAAGAGGGGGGAAGTGAAGGTTACCAGGACAGAAAAAAAGGCTGAGGTGGAAGGAGGTAGCAGCGTGCGAGGAGGCGGCTGCAAAACGGCGCGTGGTGAGGTAGGGGAGGGGGCACAGCGATGCGCGCAGTTTGTTTGTCGAGCCTCGGCAGCTTGGCCAACGCCATGCCGCTGGCGGCATACATGTAGTGCTTCCCTTCCCGCCCATGGATGGTGAAATCCCCGCCCATCCCGACCGCCAGAGAGGGGGGGGAAGGTTAGAAGGGCGAGGCAACGAGGACCAGGGAGGTGTTGAAGGTTGGGGGGGGGGGACGGTGGGTTCAGAACTCGAAATTGATGTAGGCGGCGCAATGGGGGTGGTCGCCGTATCCCAGGCATTGTTGCCAGATGTCCGCGCATTGCCGCAGATGCGGAAGATGAGGATCAGGGTGTAATCGGAGATGAAGGGGTGGCACGGTCAGCCGCTGCAAGGTCGGTCCGACCCTGAGGCGCGGCCTCAGCGCGGTGGCGCCCAAATGGGATGATCCCGGTTCGCTCGGAGAGGGTCAGTGTGAAAGCCGTGGGGAGTCAAGGCGCAACTGGGATAGGTCGATTGGAGCGTAAGCCGGAGGTTGAAAGGGCGTGGCGTTTGGCTGCGACGGCGTCGGGCGCATGGGTACCTCGTTCGGGCGTCCAGGCTTGCGTAGGTGGTGGCGAGGATGGCTATCGACTTTGTTTAGGGGCGTACTTTTTTGATGGGCTCGCTGAGGCTTCCAATGAGCTTGGACATGTATTCCTTGGCCAGGGTGATCTCCTTCTGGATGTTGAGGGTCTGGTTGTAGATGACGTGTTGTCCTACCATCGTGGTGAGGGTGTCGAGCGTCTCCTGGATGTCGTTGCGTTTGGAGCGGTACTCGGTGATGACGTCTGCTATCAGAGCTTGTTTGGTGCCCCGCATGCAGGTGAAGGCGTTTGGGGGGGTTCTTTTTCACAGGGTGGGCGATCGGGCGCCGCGGTGAGGCGTGCCAGAACCACTGCTGAGAACACTGGCTGTATCCTGAGCAAACGACCGCCATGGCCCGCGCATTGCGGGGTGGCCACCAGCCGTCGTCTGCCTCGCGTGCTCATTGCCCCCCTGAGGTTCATTGCCCCCCTGAGGTCCATGATATGTAGCAGTACGGGTCCAACGGGACGTAGAAGTTGAATGTGTCGCTTTCCAGGCCCCAGGTATGGCGGTCTCTTGACTGTGTCCATCTGTAGTGGGTGGCGCCCATGACGGCGTGAGCCAGTAGTCTGCACACGTCTGCGGTGTGGGTCCTGTCGCTGCGTCGTTCCCCGTGGCTGTGTTTGCTCTGTCCACTTGGGTCGTGGTTTTGTCCTGTGTCGTGGTTGCATCCTCCGCGGTTGGGTCGCTCGTCCGTCGTGCTTCTGGCACCTGTATTGTGAGTAATGCAGTCGGTCTCTTTGCTGTATGTTCATGCAGTGGTCGAGACGAATGAGGCCCACCCCATCAATGCCAACCATGTTGGTCATATCTGGTCGTAGCCAACAGCTTGCTGCCCTGCCCCCGTCTTTGATGGTGGCGGGGGGCTCCATGATCATTGGGGCCCTCGCGTGGATTCGTCTGTCTGCCAGCGGCGTCGTAGTCCGCAGTAGTTTGTTGTCTGCGTGTATTTGTTCGAGCTGCTTGGGGGACAAGCGCTGTTGTCTCCAAGGCTGTTGTCGGCTCATCAGATGTCGGGTTTGGTGCCCGCTTCATGTCCCGCTCGAAGGGTCTGCTCTAATGGCGGCCGTGCGACGGCGTAGTTTGGTCTCTCCAAAAATGCACGGTCTCCGATTTCGTGGGGTCGCTCTTGATACCGTTGCGGGTGATGTCGATGGAGAGTACTGGTATGGCGTTGTCGTCATGGTTGAGGCGTTATATCCCCATTGCTTCTACGTCCGCTGCAAATGTGTAGTATGACCTGCGTCGTTGTACCTCGTGGTCTTGGTGTTGGCGTCGGTTCAGGTCTTGGTTCGTCTGGTGCTGCGGCGGGTATGGGCACGCCTCCTGTAGCCTCGTAGTATTGGGCGCACGGCGGCGGTATACCAGCCTTGTAGCTGGCTGCGCGTGCGCGCACTGGGGGTAGTCCAGACACTATGTTCGTCTCGTATGGCTTCTTTGGTTGCCTCCATGGTTGCATCGTCATGCCTGTCGGCGTTGCGTATCCAGGGTGCCGCGCATGGACTGCATGCTAGGAGGTGCTTGACGAGTCTTCCAAATGTGTAGCACTCGTTGGAGCCTGTCAGGCATCT